GCCAGTCTGAGCACAGCCCACAGGCCAAGTCAGGCCTCCAGGGATGTGTCTGAACTCTGCCTGTTCATGGCAGGAGAGTCCCCAAAGATCCTCAGCAGCCACAGCTGCAAGCACAAGGCAGAAAAGACAGAGAGGTGATTCGCAGGGATGTGTCTGAACTCTGCCTGTTCATGGCAGGAGAGTCCCCAAAGACCCTCAGCAGCCACAGCTGCGAGCACAAGGCAGAAAAGAGAGACAGAGAGGTGATTCAAGGTGCTCTGTCAACAGCAGCCCTGACAAAGGACAGGTAAAGACTTCCCTAAAATCTGGCACTACAGGGAGTGCTCTGCTCCAGGGCACCCAGAAAAGCTTCAGTGGTGCTTGGAATGAGAGGTGGGTCAATGCCTCAGGCTGCTCCTGGCCAGCAGAGCAACACTCCTGCTAGAGCACAGCTGTGCCAGGAAACCCTGGGCCACAGAAATGCCATAAAGGTTGTTTACATATATCTGCAAAGCATCACTGTGCCTGATGGATGAACTTACCTCTCAGCCCTTTCACCTACCCTGAAGATAAGCTGCTAAATAATTTACTTTTGTGGAAACAATACATAGCTCAGTAGGAAGAAAACCCTGAAAATCAAGAGTATTCTTAGTGACATAAAACTTCTGTAAAGGACCCTTAGAAGCTACAAGCAAATTTGTTGTCTAAAAGAAAACACCATATATGTGTAGATGGAAGCAATTGGTGGATTTACCAGGTTTTGAAAACATCAGTTTTATAAAACTGATGAGGTAGCACAGCACTACTCTGTATGCTTAGCTTCCCCTGTTCCATGACCTCTCTTCTAATCTCATGGCAAACAGCTCAAAGGAGTTTACTTTCCTAATGCTCTACTTGTTCTCCCTTGATTCCTAATCCAAAAATTTTAGCAGCCAAACACGTTTAAACAATTGAATTTACAATGATGAACTTGCTTCACTTCTTAGGAAAATTTGTTGCTGTGATAAAATTTTACTCCTGTTAAGTTCACAGCAACATTGTTTTTATTTGGAGTTGTCAGACACTATTTTAATGTATTACACAATGTTACTACAACATAAGCTCAGAAGTTTTGTATATGATCAGATATTTCCCGTTTTTCCCCCAGCAAAAATTATTAGAAATGTTCAGATCTTTAAGTAACAGAAGCATTCAGCAAGTGTTAAGTTGTCTGGGAACTGAGAGTTCAGTGCAACATAATGTGGGTAATAATTGGCTTTATGGAAGTGGAAAAACAAGCTTACTGTTAAGGGATTTTAATGTTGGCACATACTTGGCATGCAAATAGAAATTAATGCACATTGTTAATTTGTCTGCTTCACCAATTGCTCCATGTTATTAAATCCTTCCCATTAAACAGACTCTGGCAGGCTTCTGAAAGTACTTCCATCCAAGGAAACTGTTATTAGATGGGTATTCTTGAGAAGGTTCCAGCAACATCTCAGCAACATTAGCAGTTCCAGAATATTTATGAGCATGTAACAACTCAGTGTTGGACACAGCTCCAGGTGCAATTAACATCCTCAGAACAGAAATTAAAATTGCAAAAGGTACCAGTGCATTGCTCAAGTGAAACAAGAACTCATACAGGTACTGCTGAAAAATTCCTTTTTCCTTCAAATGCTCCTCTCCACGGAAGAACTTCAGTGACCAGGAGGTAGGGTGACTTTATAGTCATAAAATATCATCATATTTCAGAGGCATGGTCCTGCACATCACAGACGTGATGTCAAATGGAGATTCTGGAATGTCATGCCAGCACTGCAGGGACACTGTCCTGGCTCCAATGGCAATGAATGGCTTTTCCTGCTGCAGGTACATTCAGCACCATGCACAGGGCTGTGTGCATGGGCTGGACAGAGAAGGGTATGTTTGTGTTTGGGAAAACACTGCAATGGCAACTTGTCCCTTAGATCTGTGTCAAAAACAAATGCTGAAGGCATGAATCTCTCTGATTGCTTGCTACAAAAGACACTGGATATAACTCTATAGCCCATGCATGTGCCACACACGCACAGCTCCAGTAATGCTGAAGGCATGAATCTCTCTGATTGCTTGCTACAAAAGACACTGGATATAACACTGATATAGCTGTCCCACACACGCACAGCTCCAGGATTGCTCCTGGTGGGAAGGAAATGTCCCCATGCAGGACATGCACAGAGGGTGGGGAGGTCAGAGAGATGGCAGAGTTGGGCCTGCTGAGCCTGAGGAGCAGCAGCAGGAGAGGACACTGCCCCAGCTCTGGCAGGTGACAGGCTGCAGGAATGAGCAGCTCTCCATGCCCAGGGTGGATGGCACATGAGCAAGAAGGGCCACAGGTACAGCTGCACAAGAATGAAGACAGATGCAAGGCAAAAGAAATTAAACACCTACAAAATTTCTAATATTAAGAACAGCAGAAGAATTCTCTTTGCCCAAAGGTAGTTGGTAGGAAGGAATAAATGTTTGGATCACTGATTTTTATCTCCTCTTTTTTGACCAACACACTGTTCAGTGATGTGCTGAGGCCTGAACAGCAAGCCCCAGCCAGAGTGCCCATGAATCCTGGGCACTGTGTGATTAACACCATCAGCATTATTTAGCCAAAATGAGATGAAAAAGACGCTTGTGCTAGCTCTGTATAACCTTGTGTAGTTATCTGCAAGAAAAGTAGCATTTTAAGAAACTTTCCCAACTGACATGAACAGAAGCAGTAATGTGCTGAGGCCTGAACAGCAAGCCCCAGCCAGAGTGCCCGTGAATCCTGGGCACTGTGTGATTGATACCATCAGCATTATTTCGCCAAAATGAGATGAAAAAGATGCTAATAAGGTCACTTCAACTCCCCAGAAACTTTCCCAACTGACATGAACAGAAGCTTGTTTGTAAGGTATTTTAGGGGAAAACCCACCCAGCCGAGGTCTGGGCCCTGGCTGGTTGGGAAGTGTGCCACCAGATCCAGGAGTTTCTGTGCTAAAATACAATAAGGTCACTTCAACTTCCCAATTTTGGCCTATAAAAGCTGGAACAACTTTCAGGGTGAATCTGGAGGTCTCACCTGTGGGTGGACACACTGGGCAAGAGTTTCCCAGTTGCTGGGAAGGGTTTTCCAGGTCCTCCCTGCAAAATGGGGCTCCCCAGACAACACGGACTCTGGATCATGGTGGAGTGTTTGGGTGATTAGTGTTATCTTAATCACTATTTTTTCTCTCATATAGTAATGATTAGGTGCATTACCTTGCTTACTTTTGCTTGTTGCTAAAGCCAAGCACGTCGTTTTTGTCAATGTATTATTTTGGTTTTGAGTTGCCTTTATATTCATAGCAAAATGAGACCATTCTTTCCATTGGTATCTGTGTTCTCCAAATCACCCCCATCAACTGGCAGAAGAGCAGGTTGTTTGTGCTTTGCTTGATGGTGTCTTTTCCTCTCCTCTTCCCTTGATTTGAAAGGTCACCTCAGACACACTGTGTCCCAACGTTTTTCCTGTTCTCCTTAGGTTTGGTTTTGTTACTATTTTTCAAAACAACATTTAATTATTTGGCCAAAAGCCCCAAGTTCCTTGACTAGACACCTGGTAATCCTTTCCATACATATTTTTCTGAGCCCACAAAATTATTATAGATGTTAAGATTCTAAAAGTTAAATAAAGAAATCAGTTCTCAGTATCTGATGAGAAGTGTTAGTGTGGTTATTGCCTTTGCTCAGCACTGCAGCTGATTTATTTATTCACACTGTGAGATGTTTTGTGAAATTAGCTTTATCTTTGTGTTATCATGCAAACCTTTTCATTTGTATACAAAGCATCTCCAAAACATTTTTCATTAGTTCCTCACAGCCCATTATTTTCTGCATGATTAATGACAGTTACATAAATATGGTGTTTTTCCCAAAACAGACGTGCTTTACTTCACTGTCTTGCTATCAAAAGACTATTGGCTTTAAAGCAGCTCTTTAATGCAATCACACAAAGGTGATATTCAGTATGCTTTCACATAATTCTTAAGTGTTATGAATCTGAGGAAGGTCTATATAGGCTATGCTAAGCAATTTTTATAGGAAATGACAAAAAACAAAATACAAGGAAAAAAGGCAAAAGCTGAGATATACAATAGGTGACAGGAGCAGTTTCTTCCTAGTCTATATTCTGTCCATTTGTTGTCTTATGCATGTCAAAAAACTAGTGGAAAGAGAAGCAGTTTTGCCTAATCACCAAAAGTACTTCTCCAAAATTAACGCCCTATTTAAGGAAAGAAAAAATGTTACTATCCAGATTTTATGTATTGCTAGCTCCAGGTATGAATTAAGGACCGTGTTTGAAGACCACACCACCTCTCAGGCAAGTCTTCAGTCAGTAAGGTCCAGAGAAGTCCTGGAATGACACTGCTCTGAAGGAAAGGAAAAGAAAAATTTATCTACTCCTCTCAAGCTGTTTCTTCCTGACCCAGACAGCTCAGGCAAGATGACAGATGTAAATCCACCACAGTCTTGCTGCTCCAGTACCAATTTCAATGTACAGCTCTGTACTAGCAGAGCTTACAAGTGAAAAGGTAACCAGTGACACTTCATGCCATGGATAAAAATAGAAAATAATGGGGAAAAAACACAGAGTAACTGTGAAAAAAAAAATTAAACATTTCAGAATTAATGACATGTAAAATAGAAGTTTTATAACTGATGTCACCCATTCAAACCCCTACAACTTGGCTGATACCTTCAAGGAGAGTCATCTTCCCAACAAAAAAAAAAGTCCAGCATGATTTTTGCTGTGACTTTCTAGTTCATCTATCAGAAATTCCATGTTGACTTTCTCAAAGGTAACAAAGAAGAAGGTAAAACTGGAAATAAGACCCTCAGTTAAAGATTTGGATCACTTCAAATAAATGAAAAATACTGCCCTTTCTCTGACATTTCACCAATGTCACTTCACATGTGGCAGCTGATGCCTTCTCCATGTAAACATTTCCCTTCCTATCCAAATTAATATTTTCAGATTAACCATGGCATAGATGGAAATGCTTGAGTTGGTTTCTTGCAGCTCAGGCACCAGAGACCGGGCAGGTAAGGAACTGACAGCACAACCAAGGGCTTCTGCTGAAAGACTGAAATTCCTTTAGGCAAAGCAGCAGCAGCAGCTTCCTTTGGGGGGAAGACAAGAAAAGAAGATGAGTACGCAGCAATTAAAACATCATTCCCTGGAAGATCAATGGGCCATACAAATGCAGGAAAGTAGCAGTGCTGCAACTGGGAGCAGTTTGTTAAGAAAGATTCAATTTCTCTCTCTGACTTTTAACCTTCTGCTAGATGATTCCTCAAGTTCCAGCCCTGGCACCCTGATTAAAGGAGATAATTTCAGATTTGTGGGCAGGGACTGCTGATGTGCTGTGGAACTGGATCAGCTTCCTGTGTGCTAAGGACTCCATGGGCAAGGGAAGGAGAAGTGACACCCATCAGTATTTGGGTAATTTTGGGTTAGTTTTCCATGAAGAATCTCCTACAACCTGTCATATGCCGCAGTTTGAGAACTGCTCCCAGTACATGCTGGCGACCATATATATGTGTACAAAATTAAAGATTATTTTACTTTTAATCAAAAGTAAAGGCCTAATTTGATGATACATTTGCATAGCATCTTTCATGCAAGGAATACATACAACATGTGAGAAAGCAATGCAATCCAATACTTCATTTCCCTATAATTCAGTACATATAGAAAAGCCCTGAGACATGCAATAAATGCCATACAATCCATGCTTTTCTTTGCATGCTTTTTTCCCCTTCTCATTTATTTACCTGTAAGAATTCTGTATCTCAGGACCAGAGCTTGTCATAGGAGAGAATTTCTATTCTATGAAAAAACCTTCCATTTCCAGATTTGCTTTGGCATACTCTTGCCATTTTTACAGAGCACTAAGTTTAAACCAGTGAAACAATCAGCAAGAAATGCTCTACTTTTTTTTTAGTAAAGATGCTTTCCTTCACTTTTCTGGGAACAAGTCACTCTCTCAGAGGATAAGAGTTATAATTAATATTTCATAATTTTATATAGAAGCCAACAGAAAATGAGAGCAGTGGGTTAGGGTGTGCAGTGGTGAGGGAGGGAATGCTGCTTTCTTTTTGAGGACTGCAGACTCACAAAGATTTTCAGCTGTTTTCCTTTTACATGATTTGCCTTTAGTTTCCTGGGGCAGGTTTGTAAAGGACACAGCTAATTAGGAACATCAGAGACTTCCTGAAATTGCCTCTTGACTTCAGTCAGTGAGGAGCTATTATTTACAGGATTTTCTGTTCTTTTTCAGCCACCAAGAACATTGCTCTAATTTCACTTCTCATCTACAACAAAGCTGCTGGGACCGAGTTTTAGGATGAGAAATAAAAGGAAATAAGTTACAAATATCATGCTTATTGACAAGCATGAAAAAAAGAAAAAAAAAGTAACAGCATGATTTAGAACTCTGTACTTTATACCTATTAAATATTTTCTTGCTGGGTTTTTTTGGTTTTGGTTTTTTGTGTTTTTTTGGGGGTGGTTTTGTGGTTTTTTTTGTTTTTTGTTTGGCTTTGGGGTTTGTTTGGTTGTTTTGTTGGGTTTTTTTGCTCCAGAACAAGAAAAAAAAAGACCTTTTAAATAGACAGTATAATATAAAATATAAATACTATAAACAACTGAAGAGAGCCCAGGGGACCACAGCAGATTTACAGGTGAATGGTAAGACTCTCAGAGGTAAAATTAACCCTTCACCTGCAGCAACCAGCAGAAAAACACTTATCTTGTAAAGGACACAGCTAATTAGGGACATCAGAGACTTCCTGAAATTGCCTCTTGACTTCAGTCAGTGAGGAGCTATTATTTACAGGATTTTCTGTTCTTTTTCAGCCACCAAGAACATTGCTCTAATTTCACTTCTCATCTACAACAAAGCTGCTGGGACCGAGTTTTAGGATGAGAAATAAAAGGAAATAAGTTACAAATATCATGCTTATTGACAAGTATGAAAAAAAGAAAAAAAAGTAACAGCATGATTTAGAACTCTGTACTTTATACCTATTAAATATTTTCTTGCTGGGTTTTTTTGGTTTTGGTTTTTTGTGTTTTTTTGGGGGTGGTTTTGTGGTTTTTTGTTTTTTTTTGTTTGGCTTTGGGGTTTGTTTTGTTGGGTTTTTTGCTCCAGAACAAGAAAAAAAAGACCTTTTAAATAGACGGCATAATATAAAATACTATAAACAACTGAAGAGAGCCCAGGGGACCACAGCAGATTTACAGGTGAATGGTAAGACTCTCAGAGGTAAAATTAACCCTTCACCTGCAGCAACCAGCAGAAAAACACTTATCTTTTTATTTTGGAAATTCAGTGAGTTCTGCACTAAGTCCTTGATCTGTCCCACAGGATGAGAAATCCCCAGCCTTGACCCAGCCATTGATCCAATGTGGAGAAAAGTGGGCTGGAACCAGGGGGCAGAGCTGGCACCTCCCTGCCTGGAGGAGGAACTGGCACACAAGGGAGCTCTGAGGGAGGGCACTGGTTTGTGCTGAGGCTTTGGAAAGAGTCGGGTTAATCACAAGGCAGCCCAAGAAACAAAGGCATGGAGAAAACACATCTTGAGCCGGAGCTGAATTACCCAGCCCTGTGCTGACACCTGCCTTCTGCCCTGTCAATTTGACAGAAAAGCAACATCAACATTGACATTCACCTGCTTATTTTATCATGTTCTTTCAGGAATTCCTTCTTGTTCTGGTTGTAGGAGTTATTAGAGTCCATGATGTGCGAAATTCCCCAGCCTGGTCTGAAATTGTCCTCTGGCACCCCTTCTTACTGCTGGAATTTGCAGTGTTTTTTGGTTTTTTAGCTCAAGCATCAGAGTCTGCCATATTCCATTCACTTTGCCTTTCATGCGCAGACACAGAGCCCCAGACAGCTGGGGGCCCTTTGGGAGAGATCTCCTCTGACAGGAAAAGCTTAAGGCAGAGCACTGAATTTCTTCTTAAAAACACAAAACAAGAGAGAAACAGATTCATTTCCTCTAGGTAATGTCAGGCTGCAGAATTTCTTTGACTGTATTTACAACACATGAATGTAAATAACCGTGTTCAACACTGTTTTCACTTTGCAAGAGGTGAGCTAAATAAGACCACAGAAGCCTTAATTTGGGCACAAAATACAATTTTTAGCACATCTCTTTTATTATATTTTCACCATTTCAGGGGATTATCTGTCTCCCCTTTGGGCCTCTGTCAAGTTTTGAGATGTCAGTGTGAAAGCAGCACATCATCAATCTCCCCCTAGGGCAGAGACCCACTCCAACCTTTATGCTGCCAAGGATGATGTTTGGAAATTTATGCTTTTAAGTACTAAAAATTGGTTCATTCCTAGGAGATAAAGCTTAGTTATTTGGTGGCATAATGTAACTCTAGATTTGGCATTACCTACAGAAACTCTAAGTTAGAAAAGACACAAACTTTTCAGATTTATGAGTGAGGAAAAAGAAAAACAAACTGAAATCCAAACCAAAAATGCTGGCAAAGGAGGAAATAATGGATGAACCACTTACCAAGCCTGTGCCTACAATGTCTGATGCCAGACTACCACAGGGAATTCATTTAGCTAAGTCTGACAAAGAGCAAACATTTACCATGTGACGTTCTATCCATGTGATATTTACCAGTATAAAAATTAATTACAAGTTGTCAAATTATCCTACATTTCCAGCAGTAAATCCTTCCTCCAGGTTAATGGCTCAAAGTAAAAGAGTGCACATGTTCAACCAGAGATGCTTCTGAGACTGACTTCCTACTGGATTGTTATTCCAGAACTCTTCTTCATCTGTGCTTCCATTCCACTAGCAGCATTCTCCTAGTGCACAATGCTATTAAAAATAATGGTTTAGAGCATCAATAATATATTAAAGATGGCCTCCTCAACATGGCTGTGGTGACAGCGTGATAAAATCCATCATTCTCTGAACATTTGCAGACATACTTCTTACAGTTAATGATGTGGCACAACTCCATCATCAAGAAATGAGGGAAACAGAAGTTGAAAGCAAAGAGAAAAACAAAGAGAAAACAAAAAGAAAAGCTTTAAACTGAGCCCAGGAAAAGTGCAAAGGATTCCAAAGTGTAGGGGCTGCTTAACTCCATACCCAAGCAGGGTGCAGGCTGCTTAACAGGAGATCCAGGTTTGTCATGGTAGACACCCTAACAAGAAGTTTGGCTTCAATCTTTACTTTAAAATCTATTGGGTAGCTCAACAGTATCTAAGGATCTGCATCATGGAGAGCACAGGATTTATGTCCCTAAGCTCCACCATCCTAAAATGAACCAGTAAGACTCAGTCACATACTTTGGCTTCCTAAATTGTCAGTGGACAGGGACAGGAGCCTCCAGAAAGACACACTGTATTTCTGAGCCCTGTGAAGGTAGAATTACTGACTGGAATATTATACTCTCTGATACAAAGAGATTTCTCAGTATCACCAGAGAATCATTAATGTGTTATTTTATGACTAATAAACACCCATTTCCCATCTATGCACACTAATTGAAAACTTTAATTGGCATTTCAAAGCCTACAGTTCCTTCACTTCACATTGTGAGTGGAACTACAGTTGCATACACAAAATGGGCATTTTCCTAGATCTGCTCATTAAGTAATGATTGCACAGAGTAAATGCTTATTCCCACGAAACTATAAGACATTTTTTCACCTTTTCCTCTGGTAATATTTAATGTTATTTTTATTAAGTCAATTGACAGAATATGGGCTTCTCTTCGCTCTGCTGTCCTTAAACTCCTCCGTACTCAGCTTCCCCTCCCAAAGGCAGCCCTGAGGAGGAGCCTGGAACAGTGCCCCTCCCAAAGGCAGCTCTTCCAGGGAGCACTCTGTGTGTGTCCCCTCCTGTAACACTGGCCTCACCAGCCACACAACAAAAGCAGTGGACTCCCAGACATGCAGCAAGGAAGGAACTGGACTATGGAAATTGGCAGTGGGCATCATCCACACCAAGAGGAAAAGTCCTTTTCCTGCTAACAGCCAGGAATGAAACAATTCAAAGGACTAGCCTAATTCAACACCTATTCCCACAGAATCCTGCAAGTAATGTAATTTCTGGTTTAATTCCTTTTCTACTCTGATTCCGGAGTTTCCATTCAAGTAACAATAAGGAAAACTTTTAAGATCTATTTATTTTCAACAGATAACAAAACTTGATCTTCATGAACTTCTACAGTCTGATAGTCATCAGGTGCCTCCAATTTTGGCATCACAACAGCAAGGAATTCCATCTTAGAAAGCAACTGAATTCCCTCTACTTGGAAACCTCAAATTAAGAAACCCCTACCTTTAGGTCATCTAAAATTGCAAATTATTTTTTAATTTTTTTCATAAAAAGAGCTTCATGCAAAGAGGTGGAGCTAGTAGCAGCCAATGATACAGCTGGATTAAGAAACTCGAAAGACCTTTTAAAAATTATTGAACATGTTAATGGTTCGTGTCAACATATCTGAAATGTTTTTTGTCTGGATCTAGTATTGTTGGAGATTTGACTGGCACTAGATTCATGCATATGCAAGAATGAGGAAATCTCAAATATTCCTACAGTGAAAACATTAGTGGAATAAGAACTGTGGCTAATCAGTCCTTTATTGGTATTAAAAGGAAATGTAAGCCTGGTCCAGTTACAATCCTCAGGTAAAACAGAGATTTCACTGTTCCAAAGAGACCATCTCTTTTTTATCAAGCTGTAGTAGTGCTACAAATTCCTTACATCTTGCACATGACTATTTTCATTTTTAGGGTTTCATGTCAGTATTACATTCATAGATCTCAATGTTCCAAAAGCAACAGAGATTGCATTGCATAGATTTAGCTTTGCACCACAGTAAGGATCTGATAGCACTGTTTAGTCACATTTACTTGAACTAATTTAACTTGGGTTTCCAGGGTTGTGTTTAAGCATCAGAAATTATCTTGAACAGACTGTGTGATGAGGATTAGCACTGCAGCAATTCAGAGAGCATTTCCTTTGGAAGAAGACATAGGCAAGAGAGAAATACTGTTTTAAAACTTTAAAAAATAATAAGCATGGTACCAGAGTTTACAATGTGCTATCTTTCTTAGGTTCAAAGAAAGAGATATGAGATTGTTCTTTAGTTCTTCCATTTGTAAGAGCAGACCTGTGAGCTGTGTGGTTTTATCCAAGCACCTGATATTCAGCTGTATGTGACTTACAGTGATAAAAAGAGCCATTAACTTCAAATACAGTTTGCTCTTCCTGAGAGTTTCAGCTGAAAACTCCTACAATACAAGAGATAACTGCATGATGATGACTTGGTAGCTCCAATATATCTTTTTATAGTAGAATATCAAACAATAAGTTAAAATTCAAGAGTGTATTCAAACCCATCTTAATTTCAAGATAGATCTCACAACATTTTGTCAGCATAAGGGCACAGAGAAGATGTAGCTCAGCCACTTTTTCCAGACAAATAACACAATTGCCTTTTCTCTTTTTGTTGTCTGCAACAGCAGAAGTTGTCCTGTAAAGCAGAAAAATACAACCCTGCCTCTGGACTCCTGGAAAAGCTGAAACTGCTGAGCCAGCCCATGCCCAGCCATCATGGTGGAGCTCCCCAGGGACACTCCATACACGTGTGCTCAGTAAATCCCAGTGCACAGGCTGCTGCCACCTCCAGAAAACATAACACAAGGCCATATCCTCATGCTCTAAGTTCACACACTAGTTTTAATAGATAAGCACATAAGGAGTAACAACAAACTTGTCAAAGGAAAAACTCTGGAAGAACAGTCAATAAAACCAATACCAAAACTAGTTTGCAAACATGACGGGCTTGAATGACTGCAAAAAAAAAAAATTATTATAGGACCTAGCTGTATAAAACAACCAAGTTAGTATGCATGTGGATCACTGTTTAAAAATGTGGACATTGATTTTGGCTGTGGATATTTTTATGCAAATATTAGTAAAATATGCTAGAACTTACAGCATGCTGTGTAGCCACATGGTCCTTTCCCTCCAATAATTTTCTTACCTGTAACATTCACTGGGATCTCCTAAAGAGCCAGAATAAATACAGATACATTTCCTGAAACAAACATCATTACATCTGTACTGCTGGAGTTTTGCAGAGATCAGTCACAAGAGAGCTGCCAAGCAGAAGAGTGTCTGGCTGCCCAGGTTCTAACTGAATTATTTTTCAAAATACCTCACTCTTTGAAGGGCTGCAAATTTTATTCAAATTCTCATAGGAAGAGGATTTCTTTGAAAGATTCCTGTTGTTCTGGAGAACCAGAATTAGGGAAGAACTCTCTTTCAGGTTCTTTTGGTTTTTTTTTCTCTCAGGGTAGTATGAGATTGTGAATAATAACAGGAGGAAGTGAAAAAGAAATATGATATTCCAAATTTTCAGAGTCAGGTTTGATTTTCATTTTCTCTATGGATTTACACAGAAATTTACATGAGTCAAATTTCATTTAACTTACTAACAGGGTTATAGTATATAGTATATCACAAGGTATTCCCTTGCAATTCCAAGTTACAAATTAGTCCTTCCATTATTTCCATGTCCTACTTATGACGGTGTATTCAAAGTATCTGTGGTGTCCTACATCAAAACAGAGCCAAAATTGCACCTGACACAACCCAGCAGTTTGTGAAAGAAAGGCAGAATCTAATACCCAAGATCCCAAGGTGATGGGCAGAATCAGTGTTGTATCTCTAACGCCTCATTTAAAAGTATTTCATCTTCTAAATTTTGCTACTTTGCAAAGAAACCAATTCAATTTACATTCTTCTTTAAAAAAAATATTTAATCACTATTTAACAACTTACAAATGTCTACTGACTTGCTAAGACATTTGTTATAGTCTCCATAATTATCTACTCACAATATTTTGTCTTTCCTCGAGATCCACATCTACTCCCATCTTATTGCTGTTTCCCTGGGCTGTCAATTTGTTCAGTCACATGTTCTTCCATAACACTTTTCCTTTAGTCCTTTCCCTATCCAGAAATGTGCTGCAAGGAAAAAGCAGGAAGCTGTAGGAAAAGCAAATTAAATTATTAACCTATTAAAACAATGCAGCTTCAGACAGCTGAAGAACAAGCACAATAAAATAAACAGCTATGATATAAATTTGCTGGGAGCTCTTACATTTTCTGAGCACTGCAAGCATGGAACAATCACAAATGAAGATTAATCCTAAGATTTTTGGGATCATCTGAACCTCCAGTCTGTTCCTGCAGTTTTTCTCTCCAGCTGGCTGGAAGCGAACCTTGGGTGAAAACCCCTGTTTATCTGCACAGAAAATGGAGAGCTTGAGAACAGAAAAAATACCTGGTAAGGACAAAGTCAAAAAAAGGAATGAAGGTGATGATTGTGTGCTCTTCAGGCCACATTGCCACAGGTCCTGTCCCAGGTGGGCTCCATCTCAAGTGTCCCCCTCTCAAGGTGACTGCACACACACAGAGCTTTCCACAAGGAGAGAAAGCCTGCCTGCACTGAGGGCCTCAAGCAATCACCACACATTTTTTTAGTGAGCAGAAAGAAAAATATCTGCAACTCCAAGCCACTGGCAGTGACTTTCAGCTTGGCCTGGCCTGATCCTGTACCCTTGGAGAGGAGCTGCAGCAGCTTGACACTGTCTGCTGGCACTGCCCTGTGCACTGACAGGGATTTTTTTCAGCAGGAGGAATTCTAAGTGAATGTTGAGAGGAGAGGGAGAACACCCTCAAGTTTTTTAGAAGCTTGGAAAGCTCCAAGACTCTGGATAATTTTGAGAGGAATAAAAACTTGTCCTTCAGGGCTATTTTTATTAAATCTAAGGGGAAAATACGGTACTTGTACCATATAACTGGTGATAAGAAAAATGTTGGTTCAGTACTGCAAGATACACAGAACTCACTCCATCTTACATCGGGCAAAGGAATTTTAAGGAGAAGGTAATGGAAATTACTCCCAGCTCATCACAGTCTAACCAAGCTTAAGGATGCCTTTTTGTTTCAGGAATGTCATAGTCTTAGGATGTCATGATTCTTCTAAAACTGTAGCTCTTTTTCCACATTTGCTGCCAGCCTGAATGCTTCCCCAGTCCCCAAGTTGTTTGATCATTTCTGTTAGTGCAGGCTTCTCATTTACAAGGCCAATGCTATACCTGGGTCCACTAAATATGCCGATCAAACAGAAAAACTGCCTGGAAAATGTCAGTGAGTTTAAAGGGATTCCTTACCTTTGCTTGAATAGCATTTTCTGATAAACCTTTTCCACAAGAACACACAGAGCTGTGCATCACAATAATTATACCAGAAACAGTGCACTGGATGCTCTCTGGAACAACACAGAAAAGCAGATTTTTTTCCCCCCACACATAAAGAAAATATTTTTGACAAAATTATATTAAAAGAAAATTGTTGTGGGGCTTTCACATCAGGGAGGACTACAGTGCTGAAAGACAGCAATTGGTAAATGGGGGAGTTGAAAGCAGGATGTTTATTTATCACATTTTTCTTCCCAAACAATCAGAGGTTTTCAAAAAGCTGTTTTTGAAAATCTCTGTACAGATAGCTGCTTAGCCATTAAAAACACACCTATTCCCTATTTTCTATGGACAGAGCTTCTCTGACATCCTACTGGGCTCTTCCCACCTCCGACTCTTTCCAAACTCACTGTTTGATTTCTCTTGCTGGCAGGCACTTTTACCCCACATTCAAATGGTTCTGTTATTCTGGACTTTCTACTCAAAACTTTCAATCTGAAAGAGCCAATGAACCCAAACTTATTCTTCTGTTGGTAATCTGCTGCTGATGGGAACTTGCTGTGAACCACTCCTTTCCCTCTGGGTCGTTTGTCCTCACTTCCTCAGAGTGAAATTAACTGATAAGCAATTTCAGAATTAGGTCACTGTGAAATCTCTCTAAGTTATCATAATGTAGGTCTAAATTCCACCTGGGTTTTCTCCTTAGCTACCCAAACTGACAATTTCAGACACACAAGGATCAAACTTACCGCTGATCCACAAGGAGAAAGTCAGTGGGGGCTCTCTGTCTCCACATTGCATGTTTGCTTAAATCCAGTGTGAAGCTGTTTTCAGTGGGAAACAAAATGTTTTAGTGTTTCAAAAGCCAGGAACTTGCCTAGAGAGGATTTGCAGTCATTTCTTTTAATATAATTTTCTCTCTTCCTCCCTCCACTTGCCTAGAGAGGATTTGCAGTCATTTCTCTCTTCCTCCCTCTATTTGTGTTATCATAAGATCCTCACTCATTTGCTTTCCTGGGCAGTCTTCCATGTGCAGCATGCAGAACCTTAAGCATTACAAAATCTTGAAAAGTATTTTAGAAATTTGTACATTTCAAATATTTCTATCTAAATTACATGTAAGATCCATAGCAAAAACCCTCTTTCCTCACCTGGAGCTTGCACTTGGTCCAGATGAACATGCTGGAACCACATAGCTGCTCTTTGAGGTTTGAAATGTTTGAATTTTCATCCCTTTAACACAGATATATACCCACCCTTATAGTTCAAAATTGTTTCACTATTGAGCCATATTGTCTGTTTTGCTCCTTCCCTCCAAATTTTCATTTCTCCACTACTTGCAAAGCTTCTGTGACCTTGTAAACTGGCATTTAGATTAAAGTAATAAAGGATCAGTTCAATAAAATATTTTAGACAGCATTAGGAATTAGGTAATTTTTTTTCCCAAAAAATCAGAAACCGTCATTTCCTTAAAGTGCAATTTCATATATTCAAAAAACATTTTCTCTATAAGAAGAACCAAGAACTTGGCTGTGCTGCTGAGCCTTTTGTTATTACTTTATAACAGGTTGTTTGGATTTCCAAGCACCTTTTTAGTTTGTTAATAGCTGTTAGGGGATAGGGCTTTATTGATTTATAAAGTCACAGCCATTTTTTCTGTCTGTGATGTTTACAAGAGTAAGGTGGAAAACAATGCTGGCTTTGCAAAAACAGCACAAGTTTAGAGCAGCTGAGGTAAGAAATTATTCTCTGGGAAGGAGCAAGGGAAAAGAAGGAAACCTGTTTCAGGGAAAAACAACTGTACAGGTTAGGGAACACATGAGATGCTTCAGTCAATATTTATCTCTGAGATCAATAAAACTTGATGTACATTTCAGTAAAATCAATATCTGCTGAATTTAAGTGTTACTGTTCCTTGGCTCCTTCTACTTCTCCCTGTTTCCAAGATCTTTTCTCACTGCTTAAGATTTCAAACTTGATCATCCAACCTGATCTTTGCATTTCCAGAATTTTCATCATGGGCTCAAAACAACAAAACAAAAAACAATCAATAAATTAAACAAACAAAAAAAAAAAACCCAAACCCAAAAAACAACAACAATAAACCACAACTAAACTAAACTAGAAGTTATTCCCTTCACTGAGCACTGGGCACAAGTAGATTTTTTCCCTAAATCTCAATCTTTAGCTAAGCTAGGGGAAAAGTAAAGGGGCCTGAGAAAGAGGTTGTACAGCCAAAAGTAGAAGCAGGAGGATTAGCAAAGATGTTGGCATCCTTAGTAGTATCTCACAGGTGCTGAAAAAAGGTGTTTTATCTGCTAATGTTCTTCCTAATACCTGGCTTCTTGTGTGGAGACTGTCCTTATCCAGATTGATTTTATAAGCTGGCAGAGTGTGCTCAGAGGTATCTGCACCCAGACTGAGTCCTAAAGATCCTGATCTCCACCACAGCTATTAACAGTCCAGCACTGAGCACTGGAAACTCTGGCGGCTTTTTCAGGTCATGATTTCTGCACTGTGCTGCAGGGAAATTTCAGCTGAATCCTTCAAGGACTCTGCAGCAGCACAGCACTTGGCAAGCAAAAAAGCTACAGCTACAGCTAGTAAAAGTGTACCAAGCCAAAGAGAACTCTCCAAGGAGGACACATCTGTCCAGACCCCCTCCTGCAAGGAGTGTCTGAGCCTCTCAGTAGTACCAGGGGATGGTGCAAAAGACGCCTGTGCATGGTGAGAACAGGTGAATGATCTCCTCTGTCTGGTGGCTGAACTTAAGGAGGAAGACTTAAGGAGTGTAGAGAAAGTGAAAGGGAACCTTTCATCCCTGAGAGAAGCCCACCAGGTGTCAGAGGATTCCCACACCTCCTATGGTGGAGTTTCACCCTTCCATCCCTGAGAAGAAGGGTGAAACTCTTCCATCCTACACCAGAAGAGAAGCCCACCAGGTGTCAAAGGATTCCTACGCCTCCTGCCATCAGGCTGAAGGAGGGCTCTGCAAAGGGGCCTGGACAGGCTGGATAAATTGGCTGAGTCCAACAACACGACAAGTTTGACAAGTCCAAGTGCCACATCCTGCCACAACAACCGCTGAAGGAGGGCTCTGCAAAGGGACCTGGACAGGCTGGATAAATTGGCTGAGTCCAACAACACAACAAGTTTGTCAAGTTTAACAAGTCCAAGTGCCACATCCTGCATTTTGGCCACAACAACCCCCTCCAGCGCTACAGGCTGGGGATAGAGTGGCTGGACAGTGGCCAGGCAGAAAGGGACCTGGGGGTGCTGGTCCACAGTGGCTGAACATGAGCCAGCAGTGAGCCCTGGTGGCCAAGAAGGCCAATGGCTCCAGGCCTGGATCATTGGTGGCCAGCAGGAGCAGGGAGGTCACTCTGCACCTGTGGCTGGCACTGGTGAGGCCACACCTGGAGTGCTGTGTCCAGCTCTGGCCCCTCAGGTTGGGAAGGACATTGAGGTGCTGGAGCGCGTCCAGAGGAGGCAACAGGGCTGGAGAGGGGCTGGGAACACAAACCCTGAGAGGAACCCCTGAGGGAGCTGGGGGTGCTCAGCCTGGAGAAAAGGAGACTCAGGGGTGACCTTGTCACTCTACAACTTCCAGAAAGGTGGCTGTAGTCAAGTGTAGTCTCTTCTCCCAGGCATCCACTGACAGAACAAGAAGGCACAATCTTAAAATGCCCCAGAGAAAGTTTAGGTTAGACATCAGGAGAAAATTCTTCACAGAAAGAGCGATTGAACACTTGAATTTTCTGCTCAGGGAGGTGGCGGATTCACAAAATCTGGACGTGACACCCAGTGCCATGGTTTAGTTGATGAGGAGGTCATAGGTTGGACTCAATGATCTTAAAGGTCTTTTCCAACCTAGTTCATTCTGTGATTCTGTGAATTTGAGCATTAATTACCTGCACTTGATAAACAAATTCATCACTTTTCCTCCCCTCCACAGCTGGATCTGGGGGTTTTGCTAACCCCTCACACCAGAAAGCTCATTTCATCCTTTAACCTTCATCTCTTCTTTTCCTTTGCAC